GCTGTTCATTTTCTGTTCCTAAAGCTTGACCTTACTGGAAAAACAACTCATGCCTTACCAGCATCAAAATAATGCAAAGTTCTTTATAACAGAGGCAAAATTGTACAGTGATGTAGGAATTCCAAAAACAAAGGGGAAGGATGTATCTGGTCTCTGACTGTCATATTTAGAATTTTTATATGCTAAACTGTCACAAAAAATAGCAAAACATGAAAGCCTCATTATCACTTCATCTGCATGCCCTACCTGGAAGAGGCTTCATCAGAGGAGAGAGAAGTGGGAAAAAGCCAGCACCCCACATCCAGCCTGGACTTGGTACTTGCTGACACAGTAGCAGGAAACTCATTCATTTGCCACAGTAAGAAAAAAATTTCAATTATGTTGGTGCTCTGGCAGATGACATCATTACTCCTACCTGAAAAAACATTCCAGAGCTGCACTTGCCTATGTTCACCCTTCATTACACCACCATTCAGGGCAAGTCTACATGTTACCACATGTCAACCACTTGAAATAACTTTGGTATGGCATTTTCTCCATGCCAACACCATAATGCATGGAGACAATTATTTCATTCTTCCATTTTGCACTGGAGATTTTCCATTCCAGCACCAGGAACTGATGTTGCTTGGATGGAAATTTTTCTGCCAGCTGGAAAAACTGCTTATGATCTGTAATACAAGTTATAACAGTAGCATGGAGACGATTACATAAATGTCATAAAGGATATTTATAGCAGCTTCTGCACTATACAGATAACACATAGATTTCTCATTTGACCAATGCCAGATCTGTACAGTATAGATATACTTCCTGTTCCTTGTCAGCTTGCATTGCCTAAGGTCCAATATTTACTTCAATTTTGAAAAGACTTAGTCATTTTCATTTGGTTAGTTTTTTTTTTTTTCAGAATGTACAGCCACAAGGAATTTATCACATCCTGGAGAAGCCTGGCTTTCAAATGGATCTCCAGAATATAGTGAACAACAGATGTTGTTCTGAAAAGTGCTCACTGCATGCAGCTTACGAAGAAATATTAACTCATGTTGGTGTTACTGTGCCAAAACTTATGCCAGAATCGGGTCTCACAGGAGCCTTACCCTCCACATACAATCTCAACACATGAGCATCTGCTGGCTCCTCTTCAAAAACAAGTCTCACTCCTTGAAAGCCAGCAAAGAGGAGCCTACAACAGCTACATGCACCCTTTACAGACATCCCAGAGAATGCATGGAGTGGCAGCATCAAGAGATGCAGTCCTACATTGAGACCATCTAGCCAGGGAAAGGTATCACCATGGCAACACTGTCAAGATTTTCATATGCCCTGATGATCAGTATGAGCATCCTGGCTGGAAGCAGAATGGAGGCATAACCATCTTGCTGTCTTTCTGCATGTTCAATCTCATATGGTCACCAATATTGTGAAAAAAGCAAGGCCAAATACAGTTTGATGCCTTTTTTAAGCATGTTGCTCCTACTAACAATCTGTAACAGTATTAACACCTAATATTAGTAATACAACTTTGGCAGAGGATACACAACAAGTCAGCTAATTAAAACTGACCTGTCTGGGGAAACCAATGCAATGCATTTGTGGGATTTGTGCAATCATATAGGAGGAAAGAACACATATGAGGAGGATCTGACACACAGATCTTAAGCTCTTCAGAGGGAAAGGGTGGAACCCATGAACCAGTGACTCATGCCCTACAAATATTCAGCATGAATCTCAGCTTACATCTTAAAGAATGCACATCTAAATGTAAATATATTGATGTAATAACATAAGCAACAGCAGCAGATGCTCAGATACATGAAGTCATTGTTTATTTCCCATTAAGGAAATTTGTTGCCTGGGATGAAAAGGAATGCTCTAGATGACCATTTATCCTCAATAAATGAGTTTTCTAAATTTCTACTTCTGTATGCATACCAGGAGTCAGACATTCTATCCAGAATTTATTGGATTTGTTTTCATATGTTAATGCTGAAACAAACAGAAGCATTTATTTCAGTTTATGCAAAGTGAAGGTCTGTGTGGGACATCTGGAGCCCAGGCCCTGAAGGGCTGCTTCCGCAGCAGGCACAACCCAAAACAGCATCCCACAATAGCCAAACGGGAGGCAGACAGACAGCTCTTCCCCACCTGACATATAATTTCCCTTGTACAGTGCTGTGTATGTTCTGTGACTCCATGAAAATTCCTCACAATTTGGTACTGACTGCACAATTACCATGAGATCCTCATCTTACCTTTTCTGGATTAAAAAAAAAAAACATTTCTAGCCCTTGAAATATAGCTTGAAACGTGTGGCCTTACTGGAGAACACCAGTGAAGTAGGCAGGAAGTAGTGAGAGATTGAATCCTCACTGCCCTGTTTAGCTCCTTGTCCTTTCCCATAGCAACCAAAAATAGAATGAATTATACATAAATGTTCTGTGCTTTGCATAGCACAGAATTTGAGTTACCATAGGGGAAATATATTTTTCTACTTATAATGTATGTGCACCATCTTTTGCTTGATAAAAATGCAATATTTTGCCTGTTCTTCACACCCATAGGTTCAGAGTCATAAACCCTTTTGGTCCTATAAATGGGACCAGCTTAAGATTAAATTAGATTTCCTTCTTCGAATTTAGGTGGGTCTCCTTTTATGAAGATAAAGAACAAGATGAAAATTCCAACTTCCACTTTCACAGTTCTTCCAATTGAAATTTTAGCATTTTGAGATTTACAGTGGTACCTCGGCTCACAAACTTAATCCATTCCACAACTCTGGTCATGACCAAAATTGATCAGGATCCAAGTCAAATTCCCCCATAAGGTTCAATGTAAATAAGGTTAATCCATTCTGACCCCTATGAACGTGGTCGCAAGCTGATTTTGGTCACGAGGCAAGTCAAATGTCCCCATAAGGTTCAGTGTAAATAAGGTTACTCCATTCTGTTAATATTTTATCACAAAAATTTGAAACAAAGTAACAAAGAACAACAAAGTGACAAAGTACAGTGCAGTAGAGAACCCTAACCTAGTTGGGGGGGAGGTTGTTTGGAGGGAGGGTCCAAATGATAATCATGCGATAGTGATTGTGCTAGGGGAGGGAGATGGCTGTGATCACGCTTGGGCAGGGAAGATGGCCGCACTCATGCTCGGGGGGGAGGGAGACAGGCGCGACTGCACTTGCGCAGGGAAGATGGCCACAATCATGTGCAGCAACATGGCTGCGATCGTGGTTGTCACCCAATGAGGAGTTTGTGAACTGAGGCAATTTTTTCTGAAATTTCTGTTTGTGACCCCATTTGGTCATGAACTGAGGTGTTCGTGAGCTGAGGTACTATTGTACAAGGAAAAAGTTAGAATCTGTACTACAGGTTTATTTATTTTCACATTTGATTTATTGAACCTTTGCTTATTTTTCAAAGGCTTTCTTATTTAATCAGGGGAAACTAAATATACTAGCAGCAATAGTAGATATTTATTTATTTATTAAATTACATTTTGTTTCCCCTTAATATAGCATTGCTTTTAATTACTCACCTGATGACCAGCATAGGAAAGCACTTTGCCACCTCTTTGCCCTTCCTAAAAACCAAGCAGGCTGCCAGGGGAGAGATGGACCCTTTGGGCCTTCCTCCAGCAGCCTACTACATTTTCATTCTGGACAAGGAAGACTGAAAGTCAAGAGAGGTACTGAGTGATCTAGCAGCCCACTATATCTCCATACTGGACACGAAAGTGATGAAGCTCCTTCCTGCACATCTGTCACAATGACTAAAGGTGTGGGCATAAGAATGCTCCTTGCTTTTGCTAAATACCTGCCATCTTTCTATTCTAGCCATGCAGCAAATGACCCTCCAGCACAGAAATGCACAGGCTGGGAGTCTGTGATACATGTCTCTTCTGCCATCCCACTTGGTTTCTAGGATGGATGAACAGTAGGGAGCACCAACTGCTGCACATCTAGCATAGGAACCTGACAAGCAGCTAGAAGAAAGCCTTTTCTGGGGCCTACATGGAACCTGTTTGCTCTAAAGCAGAGTCTTAACTGTATCAAGGGGTTGATAAACCATCCATACTTCCACTGCCAGTTCCATGGTTTCTTTGCTACTCTCTAAGTATGAGACTTCCCCTCCAGCATATCTAAGGCAGAAATGCAACAGGCTGTGGAAAGGGCCAGAGGATTAAGCAACTCTGCCACCTGCCTACTGCACATCATTTAAATACATATGAACCAAACTTTCTTCCCACACACTCGGCCAAAAACAAAACGAAGGAGGCGGGGGGGGCAGAGCATTTGGTTCCGGCCTCCAATGTTTTAGTAGTCTGCTTTTTAGGCATAAAAGGGGCTAGCAAATGAAGGACAAAGTGCATCAGTCATCCTTCCCCAGTCTGTCCTATGAGTAAAAAGCCCTCAGTAAAATCTAATTTAAAAAGATAGCACAATGCCACAGTGCTTAAAGCAGGAACAGCTTTGCAGCTGAACTCTAAAATCTTCAGATAATAGAGAATCATAGCACTGAAATATTTCCATTAAAGGTCCACTTCACGCAGAGGTTAACGTTTCTGCCATACAAAATGGAATTCAAAGCAAGAAGTCATCTGCTGACTTCAGCTGATAGCAGAGACTTGCATCCTCAATGTGAAAATATTTTTGGGACAAAATTAGTGTTTATGTAAGTATGGGAACATGAACCTTAACAGGATAGCATCATTCAAGGTTTAACAGTATACCTGCCTAGTGCAGAATTTATCAATTTTTTGAGCTTGCATAAATTAGATGCATATGATGAAGTCATAACATCAGAGTATATTTCCTTACTGTATCCCAAAATGAGGTTCTAAGACTGAGTACATCTCCTAGTGACACTGTGGTACATCTCTAGCCATCCACTAATCAAATACTAGTAGACTATGAAAGGACCAGAACTGTTTTTTAAAACAATATGGCAGAACTGCCACTAAATGAAAGCAATTTCCCTGAACACATGGCTACTTACGTTTGGTGCACCTCTGAGAGCCAGGAGCTTTGCTCCAGCCATGACAGCACTGCCCTCCACAGACATTCACCCTGCAGCAATGGTAAAGAAAAGATCAATTGCCAGCTGCAGAACTGTCTAATAAACCCAGCAAAAACTGCACAGCACACTTTTTTTTACCTTTGGGGGACTGAGGCACTTGCAAAAGAATTGTTTCTCACCTCAAAGCAGGGGTGAGGCAGAAAGAGCTGTTTAGTCTGGAGAGAACTGTTACAACAGACTAAAGGGGAAAAGATAGGGCAGGCATCAGCTCACTTATAATGAATGCTAGGAATTGACAGGAGGAAAAACGTTTAAAGCCTGAGGGAGAACAATTATAAATGTTCTAAATAAGAATAGAAGCCCATTGTTCTTTAGCACTCCCCAACTAACTGAAGGAAATGGGTATTCCCTAGCTTGCTACAGCTTCCTAAGAGGCAGTGGAGGGGTTCTTTATCTGTAGATGTCTCACTTTCATTACTTGTGACCTAAAGACACATGGCTGCCTAAGCATGAGAAGTGCAGATATCCAACTGTCTCTGCTATTTACATTCTCACCACCTTCTCAAAGATTAGGCCCTGAAGATAAAACTTGCCTAGCTGTGGCAGGTTAGAGACCATTAACTCTTCCCCGGGCCAAGGGAAAGGGAAGTAATGACCTAGGCAGCTGCATCAAGATGGCTGGAACACCAGAGCCAAGTCCAACACTACATTAGCAGTTTCTTAAGAACTGTATTTATAGTCAACGCTTTTTCTTCTTGCATGGAACCTACAGTGATTTACATGGTTCCCCACCCCTCCATTTTTCCCTCACAAGAACCCTGTGAGGTAGGTTAGGCTGAAAGTCAGTAACAGGCCCAAAGTTATCCAGTGAGCTTCATGGCTAAGTGGGGACCAGAACTTGGATCACCTGAGAGACAGTTTGTATAGCACTCTAACTGCTATACTGTACTTTTTCAGGAATCATTAAAGAGCAGCAAGTGAGCAATACAGGCAATTCCTGAGTTATGAACATCCAAATTACAAACAGTACTTACAAACTGCCATAAAGCCTATTATTTAAAAAATTACTGTGGAAAATCGTTACCACTAACAGGAGGGGGAGAGGGCCTCCAATGTATCACCACAGAGAGGAAGTGAAAGGGGAGAGAGGGAGGTATCCAAAGCATGCCTTCCTGCTCTGCCCATTTGGAGAGGGTAATCTCTCCAGTATTTCGTTGCTGCAAAGTGGAAGGGTGAATTTGGGTGGGGAGTGGTTAGAGATAATCACAGTTTTTTTACTTTCACACAGTACTGGACCCCTAACCCCTGCAAGTGTGGGTGACCTACTCTATGAGATCTGACTTACATGCAAATTTGACTTAAAGATGAATGTCTATTTTCTCAGGAATGGAACTAATTCCTAACCCAGAGACTACTTATGTTTGTTTCTACAATCACAATGGGAATCATCTGGATTTTCTGCATCAGTCACTAAAATTAATTGGACCACTGTTGTGGTCACTATCCACACAAGCCATCTTCTTCAATGGTTGTTTAAGCTCTCAGGACACCTCCCCATAACCTGATGCTCTTCAGATGTATTGGAACTACAGCTCCTACCATCTCCAGGTATCACCCAAATGGATGGAAGATGTAGTCTAACACATGTGAAAGGCAGGTTGGTAGAGGCTACTTTAATACTTACCCAAGGTCAATGCTCTCTTTTGACTTTCCGCTGCAGATGCATCTCTTGTATATGCCCCTCAGTACCTCCCTATAATATACTTGAGTAACTTTGCTCTGAAATCAGCCTTCAAAATCTGTTATTACAGATGAGGAATCCCAAGACAGACAAAACAAGTTCCGCAAATGGTGGACTATAGAGTTGTAATATCTAGTTTAAATGGACTGATCTGAACTTAATTGATCTGATTTCTGCTGTGGCACCCATTTGTGGAATGAACTTCCTAAAGAGGCTCACCTGATGCCTATGCTGTGCTCTTTCTGAAACCAGGCCAGGAACTTCTTATTTTCCTGGACATATTGGTCTTCCAGTTTCTATTTTAAAACTGTTACTGTTCCATAGCTGCTAGATTTTATAGTGGTTTTTTAGCTTAATACTGTAGTTTTAAAAGCTTACATATATTTTACCATGTTGCATTTTTGAGGTTTAATTGTTGTGAATCACCCAGAGGGCTTTGGTTATTCAGTACAGAAATATAATAAATACATACCACATTTAACTTGTGCTTAAAATGTGTCTCCAATTAAACTAGCAGATGTTTTAAAAAGTTTATTATTTTTAAACATGGAACAACAGGTGCCATCTTCGAAAAGGGGCTCCTCCTCCTCTTCCACAGAGAATGTAATGCCTTTTCCTTAAAATGGGTCCTTGTGATCTAGGCAGGTATTACACAAAACAGAACCTTCACACCCACCCCAATCAGAATGGTCCATGCATAAAAATATGCAGATTTAATCAGCCACTTAGGACATGATCCTACAGGAATGCTCCTAACCTTCCAAACTCAAGGGATTACAGGCATCCTAAACCAGGCAGGAGGACACAGGCAAAGACTAAATGTACACTCCACCCAACCTGTAAAACAGCTAAATGGTCAACTTCAGTGGACTAACTGTGGCTCTCTGGAGGTGGAGGGAAGGAGACTGGCTAAGGCACCCCCAGGATACACGGTATCTTGGCGATGCCAATCTCTCTCTACCCTGCCCCTAAATCAATTCTCTCCAGTCCTTCTTACAACCTCAGAGAAGCAGCTGGTGTGGTTCCTTCGCTGCCTCCTGTGAGAAGAAGCATTCCAATGCAGAGTCCCAATTCTTATGACAGGGCTAGAATTCTGAAAAATTCTGCTGGCTCTACTTGCTGTCTAGGGGCCACATGATCATCTGTTAATCAATCAACTGATCTTTGACAGCTCAGATTCCTTGAACTGGTTTATAGCTCCACTTAAATTCATTCATGTCTGTTGTTTCAGGAAGCCACATGTTTTCTAGTGATTAGTCAAATACTATTCCAACTTTAAGGGATGTCATTTTTCTGTAGAATGTCATTTCAGAAGATATGAAAATGAAGCCATTCTTTGGTGACTCATAGTTTACTTTATACATTGTTGCTTGCTACCTCTCCAGGAATTTCAAGCTCTTTCTAATAGCAAGAGTGACCTACACCAAACTACACACAATACTGACAAATACACTCATCTTTAGGGAGAGCACAAATGAACTTCCAGTTCCATTTTTTCCAGTCTTTAATGGTCCTGGCAATCACCCAATGGCAATCCCTTCTACGTGGTCACATCTCAATCACAGATGTGAAAGATAAGTAAACCAAGTCTTCAGATTTTTCTTTCACCTAAACTGATTGTGCAAAGTCAGATCAATGGTCTGTGCAGCCCAGTATTGTTGGTATTGGTATTGCTCTCAGGGTTTTAGAAAGAATTCCTTCCCAGCCTTACCCAAGAGAACCTGGTGACCTGAGCCAGGGGTTTTCCACATGCAAAACATATGCACCTCCCACTCCAAGGGTTCCAACCCCACCTTGAACCTCACTACCAGATTAAGTTTGAAGGGACTTTCATGTGCCTTGAACTCCCTCATGGACTTACCCAGCTCTGATCATGAACAGAAGGAGTGCTCAAAGCAGCTCCAAGTCAGTGGGATACAGGTACCATTTTTAAGTTCCCACAATGCCACAATACAAAATTATTGTAATTGCAATCATTGTAGTACTGCCCAGTGGTCCATTCTATGGCCTCCAGCATTTGGAAAGCTAGGGGCAGTGGAAGAAACTGTACCTAAAGCACTCCTGCACAAAATCAAGAGCAGACTGCAGCTTCTTTTTGCCCTTTATTCACTCCATTCCCCACTAATACATTCTCACCAGGCAACACCCTCCAGAAAGGGTGTACAAATGAATGTTGCCACTATACTGCTTGAGATGCTCTAGTTGTTTAAGATTTCAGAGCGTCTCATATGAGGCAGGGTAATAGCAAACGGCGCTCTGTCTGCACGCTGGCCCTGCAGGGGGGTGCGGGAGGTTTGTGGGAAACACTGAGCCTGCATTTAATTCAATAAGCGTGCACTCTTAGGTTCCCTTAAACGGGGGAAAGGAGTCGTGTGGCCACGCGGGAAAGCGATGGCGGCGTCACCTTACCCCTGCAACTGCTGCAGATGGGGCTTGGAGTGAACCTGCGCGCTGGAGGTGCTGTTGCTCTGGCGCTGCTGGAGCTTGGAACGTGCGACGTGCTTGCCCACTTTGCTGAAGGAGGCGGCGGCCGTGTGGCCGCTGGCAGGCTTGTGCTGGAGTTGCACGGTAGGGCCCAAACGCAACTGAACGCTGCTTCCTTTGCTCATCCTGCGAGTTCGCTCCAAGGTGCTGCTGCTCCGTCGGCGGGTGCTGCTGTAACGGGCGTTGAGCAGCTCCACATTGAACGTGCGCTGCTGCCCTCCACTTTGCCGGCTGCGGCTGCCAGACGCGCCCGACTGACCGGGGCGCAGCACATAGGTGACCGTCCTCAGCTTTCTCTTCTCCGAAGCCTCGAGCGCCGGACACAAAACGGCACACGCACCAAGCAGGAAAGCCCAGCGGAGCCAAGCCATTTCCACCACCCGACGGAGGGAATTCCCTGCAGCTAGGCGAATGCTACAGAGTTTCGGTGCAGAGACAAAAGAAGCGCACAACCTTCCTGGGTTTGCAGCAATAATAACAACGAAAAGCGTCGGATGCAATTCCCTTCGCTTGCCTTGTTCCAAGGGGGCAGCGCCTTCCCTTTAAGTTCCCTAAACGAAAAAAAAAAAGGGGGGGGGGGGGAGAAAAGAGAAGTGCTTTAGATCGTCTCACCCATCCGCAGCTTTCCAGGTCTCCCTTTCACCATGTGAGGCAAGTTCAGTTGAGTTTTGTTTTTAAAGTCACTGCACGAACTGAGAAAACATTGTTAAATAAGAGGAAGCTGAAAGAGGGGAAATAGCTCCAGCCGGGAAAAGCAGCAACGGGAGAAAGGGGCTTTCTACGAGGGAGGGTCTCTCGTCTTCCTCCCTCTAAAGCAGAGCTACGAAGGATGCCGGAGTTGCTAGCGGTCTGTGAACACGGGTAGCAATAACCTATAGGGCAGTTCAGACCGAGAGGAGGAGGAGGAGGAGGAGGAGAAGAAAAGAACTCTTTTTAAAAAGTTTCTGCGGGCGTGTGGCTCCCCTTGAGTGTCAGATCTGTCCAACCAATCCCAGCCAGCCATGACGTCACGCAGCCGTTCCTAATTGGGAAAACTATAAAATAGGGCTGGGACTTCACAGACACAATCCAGTTTCAAATGCAGGAGTGTAAATCTATGGGGAAAGGGGGCTTCTTACTGCTTGCAATCTCATGACAAAAGGAGCGCCGTGGATGCTTTCTGAGATGCTTTCGCTATTTGCAGAGGATAGCCGGGCTAGTCTATTGTAACAAAAAGAACAAAGAATAATATGTAAAGCGCCCTTTGTATTTGCATAGGTGTGGGATGGATGGTTGCAATGTATAGTAGTGACCTGCCTTACCAACAGTACAATAGTAAAGGTATATACACAGTTTCTAAAAGCTTTGAGGCATCATATTGCCAGGACCTGATGCATCACTTAAGACTATTTTATTGCAAATATATAAATTGAAGGTTTGCAGTGCAATCTTACGTCGTCTTAGAGGTCCTCCAGCATTCAATGAGGCTATTCTCAGGTAAGTGCAGAGCAGTTTTCCACCTTAGTAACTACTGCCAGGCAGTAATTTGAAAAAAAAAATCCAAGTATTAGAAGCATTGGTGATCAGTGTAATAAAGAGATAAGGAAAACCCATTACCTGAACTCCGAAGACTGCTTTCAGGATGCAGTTATGGGAATCCATACCAGACTATTCAGGGATATAGCCTAAACACTGAAGAAACTGGTTAGATTGTGCTTCTCAAAGAATTTCTGGTGAATAAAGCATTTCAGCATAGCAAGGTACCTGCACCACTAAAAGACATGTTTAAATTGCGCTTAAAGGCTAACAGAGTTATTGTGATATATGCCTTCATGGACCAGAACTGATGGACCATCAGTGTTTCCAGCCTGCAAAATCATGGGCCATCATAAATCTGTTAGTCTTTTATGATACAGTCCTATGGATATTTAGGCTGGGAAAAAACCTTGCAACTCCCAGCATTCCCCAACTGACTTGTAAATGTGTTTAAAATTCTGCTGTTATCATCAGGCAAACCTAGCATCAGAATGTGAACCTGTTTTTTTCAGAGCACCTGTGGTATTCCAGACATCTCACTGTAGCTCTTAAGAGTACAATCCTCTACTTATTTAGAAAGAAAAGCAGGGCTACAGCTCTTAGCATCCTCTAGCTGGCTGCAGGGTGCTTGGATCTGCAGTACGTTTTCTTTCTGAACATATATAATTCAGCCTTTAATCAAATTAGAAGATAGTGTGAGTATTTTACTTTCTACTACCCTATCCCAAACCCCAATTCTAGCTGGTTGCATAAACTCCTTGCACCAAGACTCACTGGGCATTGTTGTTGCATTGATTTTTGCAAGCTTTCTACATTCTAAAAGGTTATTTCTTTTGTGGCCCGGTTGCTCTTGCCTTTGGCCCTAACTCTGGCCTATGATAAAAATGCATGTAATAAAAGGAATTGCAGTATATAGCAGTTAGAAAATGAGAATCCCTGAACTAATTTCTTCTTACTTAGTTTTCCTCTAGGCACAGTGCTAGTTTAAAACACTGACACACAAACCTCACTATTGGAGGAGGGAGTGTCCAATAGCAGCAAGACAGTTCCCATGAAGCACCACTATTTTTCTCAGGAGCTAAAACCTTGAACAAGATCAAAGTGGCACCAGTGTACAGTCAACACAGAAATCCTCAACTATTTAAAACTTCTATTTATATTTACACAGGCTTTTAAATAGATGAACTTCTCAGTGGCAAGCAAGTTTACTAACAGTATACTTATTTTTATTGCAGTCTTTCCCTTTGCTAGGTTCTGTTCTAACGAATAGAATTGTGCATGTTTTTATGCTAGTAAATCTTGGAACAATTAAAAGCCGCATACCGTATTTTTCCGTGTATAAGATAATACTTTTTCTTAAAAACATTATACATGGGGCAGCAAGCGCAGGAGGGGGTGTCGGGGGGGGGCGGCAGCTTGCTCACTGGAGATAGGTAGGAAAAGTGGGGGGGTCCTATACATGGGGGCATCTTATAGATGGAAAAATACAGTACATTATACTTCCAGGCATTTGTCAAAGCTTGAAAATAAGTAACAAACCAAAGACAAACCTTGCATATTTTCTGAAGGCCTTAGACTGCAATTTTACATACACCAACCTGGCAGTAATTCATCCCATTGAATTATCCTGAATAGAGGTATATAGTATTGCACTGTTAATCCAGATTCAGTGATGGCCAGAAAAGGCAGTTCTCCAGCAGCTGTTGCCATCTACCTTGAAATACTGCAGTAAAGACGGACCAACTAGTCAGTGCCTTAACGGGGTTGCTGCCTGGGTTGCAGCCCACACCTCTGACTCTACCACCTCTTCCCAATGGTTACTGGTAAGTATGGCCTTTCCTTCCTCCTGCTGACTGCCCTGCAACAGTGATAAGGGTCATCATTAATGTCACCAAGTTCTGCCTGATGTGAAAACTTGTATCTGGGCTGTGCTAGTTCAGATGGAACATGGGCACTGAGCCTGACCCAATGTGTGCCTTTGTTCCAGAAATCCTCCCCATCCAGAAAATTATAGCCAAATTAGATAGGATGTTAAATTGTGTAAGTGCAGTTAACATGTAAGGGTTTTAACAAAAGTGGGGAGAACATTATATTCTTTCCGACGCCAGATAAAGACCTTTTTATTTGATTGTTATTTTAAGAATGTTTTTCAACACTTTAGGATTTTATTTTATTTTCCCCCTTTTTCACAGTCACAGTTTATATAGTGATGTGTTTTATATTGTTTTAATAATTAATGTTTTATATAGTAATTTTATATTTATTGGTTTTTTTATATCTTGTAAGCCATCTTGAGGTATAAATGTATGAAATAAATAAATAAACTAGAGGAGAGAGGTCAGAAAGTGACCAAGCTTCCCTCCATGTTCGTGACAAAAATTACCTTCCTGAAGCTGCATCGGCACTGGTGGCACCTTTGCATATAATGGAAGCAGGAGTGCCAGGGAAGTGATGTTTTGCTGGGTCCGTAACACAGGGAAAGCATAAAACTTTTCTGTCCCCTGCAGTTGCATCACTGTTTGCCTCCTTACCCCCATAGGGCTGTTATTGTAAAAACCTGCCCATCAATTGCAGTTGTGGTACAATGAATGTCAATTCTACTTTAGATCATAGGGAAGGAATTACTAGCTTAGCATTCCCCCAGATAAGCTTATTTTCTGTGGATAGCTAGCCTGTTTCATGGTGCCTTTCCACTCAAGACTCAGTGAACTAGTCGGTATTTAGTGCTGCCATATCTTCTATTTAAGTTGAAAGGATGTCACCAGTGAAGTCCCACAGGGTTCTGCATTAGAACCAAAGCTTTGCAATCTATTCATAAATTCTCTAGAAGTAGGATTAAGTAGTGAGGTGGCAAAGTTGGCTGATGACACTAAACTTTTTAGGGTTGTTAGAACTGTTTGGGTTGTGAGAAGCTCCAAGGAATCTCTCCAAGCTGTGACAATGGGCATCAAAGTGGCAAATGCAATTCAATGTAAGCAAATATAGAAAAAAATGCATTTTGGGGCCAAAAAATAAAAATCCAAACTTCAATGGGATCTGAACTAGCAGTATCTGAGCAAGAGAGGGATTGTAGGGTAGTGGTGGGCAGCTCAATGAAAATGTCAGCCCAGTGATCAGCTGCTGTAAAGAAAGTAAACTGCATGCTAGGCATCATTAGGAACCGAATAGAAAATAGAACAGCCAAAATCCTGCTCCCATTATACAGATCCTTGGTGCAACCACTCTTGGAATATTGTGTTCAGTTCTGGTCACCTTACCTTAAAAAGGGCATTGTTGAATTGGAAAAGGTGCCAAGAAGGGCAAGACAAATGAGCGGGGAGCTGGAGCAGCTTCCCTTTGAGGAGAGGCTATGACAATTGGGACTGTTCAGCTTAGAAGAAAGGCAAGTAAGGGGAAACATGATAGAAGTGTTTAAAATTAATGTATGGTGTGGAGAAAGTAGAGAGGAAGACATTTTTCTCCCTCTCCCATAACAGTTGAATCTGGGGTCATCCCATGAAACTGATTGGTGGGAGGTTTAGGACAGATGAAAGGAAATATTTCTTCACTCATCATATAGTTAAACTGTGGAATTTGCTGCCATGGGAAATGGTGATGGCAACCAATCTAGCTTTAGAAGGGACTGAACAAATTCATGAAGGAGTCTATCAATCGTCTTGCAAGCTATACACTTCCTCCTTTATCAGAGATGGCATGCCTGCATACACCTGTTTCTGAGGAACTGGACAGGAGGTCTTTCAACCATCTTGCTTTAGGGATCCTGCTGGCAGCTGGTTTGCCACCATGTATACAGAGTACTGAACTAGATGGACCTTTGGTCTGATCCATTATGGTTTATGTTCGTATGAAAATAGGCACAAAGCCATTATATATATAATGCAGAGAATAACTTTAAGTAGTATGGACCATAACTCACATTTTACCTTGCCATGATAAATCTGAATTATATGAGCTAAGCTCATAAAAAGACGCAAAGGTCAGAGTGTATTAGGGTATAGTGTAAGGCCTAAGAAATTAACTCAAAATATGATAGGCTTTGAAGCAAGGTGGCACATCAGGTGAGAAAAGCATTAAAGAAGAACATACACATTATGTTCTGACAATAATTATAAAATTCTTAAGAGCCCAAGTCCAAAATGTGTTGCCGCAACAAATATGTTGTTGTTACATGCCACGGAGTCTCCAACATATGTCAGCCCCTTGAATGAATACCCTCCAGAAATACCATGACAGTCCTGCTTAGCTCTTCTAAACCCATGGCTGTGGCCTTTATGGAACCAATCCCTTTCATAGCTGGTCTTCCTCTTTGTTTTCAGCTTTCAACTTTCCCTGGCATGACTGCCATCTCCAGTA